GAGGCCTGGATGAGAACAACTTTTGGAAAAGTAAAGCTTTGTGAAATTCAATGGAAACGTTAGCTCTACTCATATAATTATGGGAAAATTCTACTATCAGTCCTTCATCACCTTAAACGAAATAGTATGCATAAATCTTATATTACTGATTTACTGGTGCTCTCGAAACTCGACTTACATATGAAAAATGAACTATACCGTCTTCGGAGGCCAGGACTGTACATATCCCAATTTAATGACCAAATTTAGTTGGCATTACGGCTAAGTCCGACTGCAATAGACAAGAAGAAGGTTTGAAGCAAATTTGGCGCTATAGACCGTTTTGCTAGTACGGCCGAAGTAGAGACGTCGTCAGTGAAGAGGTCGCCATGCCCACGATAGGTGTCCAATTTCAATTGAAAATCAATTGAGATCTCAGCATCTCACTTGGAGTCAAGTACCTTTTGACCCATCTCGGACAAGAGAGAGAATCAGTCAGTTTACGATGGGCAATATTATATTTCGGGTTCTAGGTTCAGTCTTCACATATCACTTTCGTTGTGGAGCGAAGCCCTCGATTCGAAGAGCATTATTTGTTCAGGTTTTTCTTTGTTTGATACACTTGTTTTCGTTTCATAACCTTGGAAAGAGCACTTATTACTCGATTTCAATCCTCAAAATCGTCGATTCTTTCGGGACATAGCATCAACAAATGGAAGGCGGTGTCCTTGTTTCAATACCTTGCTTTCCCAATGATCAGTACCTCTTCCCTTGGTGCTGGGCTTTCGCCTGTTATTTGACAATAAACTTAATGGGGATATGACATAATAGCAACTCTCCACCGAGATACGATAAACTTGAATATGGCAGGTGTCGAAGTCGGGACCTTTTGTGCATCTACTCGTATTGAAAAGGGCCTTTTGCTCCAGAGTCAAACTCCTCCAAACTAAAAAAAAGGATGTAATTTTCACTTTTATGAATCTGCAATACTCCTGAGTAGATTCAAGTTGATCTGAAGCACGACCAGTAGAGAAGAATTTGGAGTCTGATAGAATATCTGAACTGGTGGCTCTCCGTTTGTGCTTTTAGGTAGTTTTGGCACACTGATAGGCTTCTAGTGAGGGTCCAGACTTTGACTACGACATTGAAAGAGATTTAGTTTAGGCCTAGTAATACGCGCCCACAAAATCTGCTCACTCTGCGAATTCAGGTACGTTTTAAGCCCACTACCAAAGCGCCTCCAGGTCGAAATTCCACCAATCGGCTTCGAATAATGCATTTTATTAGCCTATCTCCAATACAAGTTGGTTTCGGGACTATGAGTAATTCTTGCTTAAAGTCGTTTTTCCCACAACCATATCAGTATGCTCAATGATGCCATTACATTTCACTTAGACTTCCCTAACAACAGCCTATCTCATCCAGATCTTATCGGCATTCTCAGTAGGATTCGATATCGATACTAACACACTAATCTTAGCTATGAGATGTATTCATCCTGTTTTGTTAGAGGTGATGTACAGATCGTTTAATTTATCTACAATTCTATGCCTAGGCCCTTCGTTTCCTTTGAATTTTACATAGTCTTGGTTCCAAACAGGTATTATTATCCAGGCTGGACTGCAGTTTAGACCTTATCTGGGTCTCGTCAGCACTTCAGTCAGAATTTGAACCCGGGTTGTGGCTGTTCAGTATGCAATCTCGACACATTAATCACTATCCTACACTGCCATACATTTCACATGGGAGTAAGGCCTGGCATTTCTTAAAATTCGCATCGGCCCTATAAACTTAAGGTACTCGTTGCTGTGTGACATAGTGGTTCACGAGTATAGATTATGCGTTGAACTTCCACAACCTAGGTTCGAGACTAGTTGGAGGTGTTTATGATACCCATGCCAACTCGATACCATAGTTCTTTCACGATAAAAATACATTTTGGGAAGCAATGCTATGTAAAATTCACCTATTCATATTATGAGAAAGTTATACTACCAGTCCTTCACCACTTTAAACGAAATAGAGCTAATATATCTAATATATATATAGATGATCTACTAGAGTCTTGAAAATCTACTTATAAACAGAAAAAATAGTCTTTATCCTGGAAACAACTCCTCACAACCTCGTCGCGGCCACCTTTAACCTGCAGATAGCTCAGGTCGAAAGGTTAAAATAATCATGTTTTAACCCTTTTGCTTTCTAACAGGCTGTCATTGTGCTTTGTTGTGCCCCAAAGAAGGAATACGATTTGGAATTTTCGTCAAAAGAACCAAGACAATTGTAAGAAGTTCTTCTCCGAAGAAAGTTGCTAATTTGACACAAAAGAACACAACCTATTCGACGTTTAATGCTAAGACGCATTCAATTTGCATATGCCCTGGAGACTCACCCTCCATTCATTATAAAAAGCTGTTTCACATAAGCTCACTCATAAAAATCCTCTAGACATTAAGACATATCATGTAAGACAAACTCTCGGGAATAGGAGGTTATTGTAATTGCTTCGGTTGGTTCTACTATTTAACTTGTAGTGACTCTGCTTGGACTAAAATAAAGAGAGTGTATAATTTTGAGTCCAAATTTATTGTTTAATGTAGGCCTAAATACAGTTTTTATCCACACTTGCTAGCAGCCTCGACCTAGCCTCATCTAAACATCAGCAACCCTAGCAAGATTCGAACCTTGTTCACGCTGGTCTATTGATAAGAAGGTCACCTCCTAAGCCCCACGATCCTGTCCATATTGTGTTATTGCATATGAGTGAACTTCATGGCACAAAATGTCGGTAGGGTCGTGGGATTCAGAAGCTGGCCTATGTAACCATTAGCTTACATGCTCGAATCCCTCGAAGTTTATCAATAATACGATAAACAGAGGCCGAAACTATGATCCTACTAGGAAAGAAACAGCCTTAAGTATTATATTAAAAAAGCAAATTTAATGCCAAAATCAGATCGTAATTGGAATAGCGATCACTGTAATGAAACAACTACTTGAAGAAGCTACACCATAGTAACAGCCACGTTTCGGATAACCGCGAAATTAAACCTGCAGGTATCCGTTTCTACATAACTTGTCCCAAACAAACATTTTGTGAGGCACTTTGCCCTCGTCTCCAGCCCACGAATTGCTCAGACTTTTAGTATACGTTTTTCGTTTATAAGTAGGGTTTCGGTAATACCATAAATCAATTATATGACATGCATTCACCCCAGTTCGTTTTAGGTGTGGTAAGACTAGTAGTTGAATTTTTCCACAAGGATATTAGTGGAGCTGACGTTTTCATTGAATTTCACATATCCTTGCTTTTCCAAAAGTTGTTCTCATCCAGAGTAGACTGCCGTTTCGACCTCGCCATTAAAATTTTTTACCGATTCCATGATATCCATCTACTGAGATTCCAGGAATTGTATTGTATTAACGTTTTTTACCATCTCCTAACTAGATGGCTTAGTTGCTTGTCTTCATTACTTTCAATACAACCAAGTAGCCCTTTTGTCATGTGTCCTATACATCAGAACATCATATTCCATGCCTTTTATGTTGACTGTCTCAGTTGTCCCATGAGCCAAGACCTCAGCCAGGCCCAGGAGGCAGAAAACTTTCATTCCCAAGCGAGAGAAATGAGGTCTGCATGATCGAGGATGATGGAGGTATTCATTTCATCAAAAGCTATGACCTGAAGCCTGACAATGATAGAGACATGAGCGGAGAAGCAGACATTGGTCGTGGTGAGCTGACAGAGCGATTGTATTACCTTGACAACAAAGAAGAAAATAGGTCAAATGCAGAAGAAGATGGTATTGGTGAAGATGAAGACGAAGACGAAGTTCAGGATGAAGATGAAATGACCATGGTGAATCTGCCCGCCTCTCCACTGGATCGTGGCGCCTTCTGTCTGCTCTCCACGCGACAGACGTTTGCAGCTCTCTGGTGGTTTGTACAGCCCCTACTTTTCGCGCTGATCGGAGCTGAAATTGACGTGACTAAAATCAAAGGCGGTGCACTTGGTAAGTTAGCAATTCCATTAATGCACGCCAATCTCTTGTATCACAATACCATTATATCATTTGGTCTTCACTCGTCTCGGTCTGAAGAGGTGACTGATTGTGTCGTTCTACAAGAAAGGGATGTGTAAACTGCCGTCTTAAATGGTATGAATAGGACATTTGGAGAATTAAGTGAGACTGGCTACGCCAATTCCACTTAAAACTGGCTGGCGGAAATCGAGTGTAAATTACTCCATCCTTAAGCAAAATAGCTTAACTGACACAATGCAAATTCCATCAAGAATTTGCGCCAAGTTTGACCAGAATATGTCCACATGCACAGCCTGCATTATGTATCCACCATATTTCATTGAAGATAGCTGGTAGTTTAATTTTCCCACATTGCTTTGGAGTTCGCATAGCCTTGCTTTCCCATGACGTATTCTCGTCCAGAGTGGATCACAGACTCGAGCTCACCTTAGTCTCCTTGATAGCCCTCTTAGGACTCGAACTGTGATAGTTCAGCATATAGTCTCGACACCTTAACCTTCACGCAACACTGCCACGAGTACAATTGGGTCAGAGGGCAGTTGTGATTTTAAAAAAAGGCCAGGCATTTTCTCATGCTACATTATGTGGTGAGATTGTTGATGAAGCACAGTTGCATTTGCTATGGCCTTCGAAGAACCTACTTATTTTTCCTTTTGTACAACCTAGTTACTACCAAATGAGACGTGTTAACCCTATTTCCTTTAGGGTGATTTAATATTGGTAGTTAAATTTTCCCACAATAATATGAGTAGAACTTATGTTTCCATTGAATTTTGCATAGCCTTGCTTCTCAAAAGATATCCTGAATCAGGCTGTACTGGACTGCAGTTTCTACCTGGTCTAAGTTTCATCATCACTCCCAGCGGGATTCTAATCAGGAAACAGCAGCGTATAATATCAACACGTTAATCTCTGCACCACATTGGTACAAATGTCTTTGAGTAAATGGATAAATGTGGACTTCAAAGAAGGCCAGGCATTTTCCTGTATTATCTTCTGTGTTGGAAGTATCGGTGAATTAAGTGTATATTTGTATAAGCAATCAACTTCGTTTGTAAGCAGGGTTTTAGGACTATCAGTAAATAAGATATATGAAGTATTTATACTCATATCATTATGGGAAAACTCAAGTATCAGACCTTCATTATTGTAAATTAATAAGAGTGAACACATTTCACTCGAAACTTCACTTACAAACGAAAAATATTACTGATTTCTCTCTTAGTGGCATTTTGCTTCCTATCTCTCAGAAATCAGGTTTAGATCGAGATGTACCAGCTAGCCCACAAAACAAGTTGTTGTTAACAACCCAGTCTCTAGCTTTCTTAATTTTCAGGCAAAATAATTGTTGAATAAGTATTGCGTTCACCCTATTTCTTCAATGCAAAGATTTACTATTAGTTGAATTTTGCCACAATGACATGAGTCAGCCTGGAAATTCAATTATCTCTTATGAATCAAGAGCATGCGTGGAAGTGTATCATAGTGGTTGATAAGTCGCGACTGTAGGTTGTATATTCCGGGTTCGAGTCCCGCTAGGGGTGCTGATGAGACGGGTTCAGGTAAAGTCGTAATATTAGTCCAGTCCAGCCTGGATGTGACCTTTTGAGAAACAAAGCGTGAGGATTATTCATATCCTAGGGGTAAAATTCATCTGCCAGTCCTTCATTACCTTAAAATAAATGGATAGAGCACAGTTCTTATTTAAGCTCTACTAGTAGTCTCAAAGGCCTAGTTTTAAAAATAGAAAATGGTTGCATATCGATACGAAATTTCCCACAAAATTAATGTGAGTTGACAGAGAAACTTACTTTAGCATGAAACTCAATCTCATGTTGCCTAGAGCCAACCTATTTGCCCCATAACCCACACTTTCACATTTCGAATCCCATCTGGGAGTGCGGATGATAGGATTATGAGAAATCTAGATTACAGCCTAGCAAAGAAATTAAAACTTTTTTGT